ATATTGCACGAACAGTGATGTTTTTCTCTATTTTCGCTTATTTTGTGAGAACTTCAGCAGTTAAAAATCTTTTTTAAGAGTTTAAACAAATAAATACATAATACATGAACCTGTGAAAATAGTTTCTGACAACTACATTCTTGAATAAACCTTGAATATTTGACCCCTTCATGTTGGATGTTTGGTAATAATCAAAAGCAGCAATTTTTTTTTTGACTGAAAAACATTGAGAAAATTACTGCATATCGCCTGTGATCAATTTCTCCAAATGGGATCAAATTCCCTTCAGGAAGGCTATGCTGCTTCCCCCAGGAGTCTGGGGATGGTGTCCTTGGACCTTTGCCAATCTTGCATTTAAAAGACTCGACTCTATCGGCATTGATATATGATCCTATTTTAAGGCTGTTCACTTGTCATCTCCAGTCCTAGACCAGGAAAACACCTGCAATTCTTAATTTGACTTCTAGCTTTCACAATGATTCCATTATCTATTTGTAATCTCGTGCAAAGTTCCACCAATTATAAATCCTCAGCCATCCATGCAAAAAACTCTTCCAGAGCTGCTCTTCTTGACTTCTGAGAAGGAAAGCTATTTCATCATAGTAGTTGGATTAAGGTCAAAAGTGCATTAAACTCATATTTGCTTCCTTACAGTAAGGGGGAGTGGCATCTGAATCACAGATCTACAGTAAATTCTTTCATTCTTGCTGTGTCCTCACCATCCTAAATGTAGGCTCCCAACTTTCATTTAACATGTCATGGGCATTAGTTTCTTCTGATAACAGTTCAGAGCAGTCTGGAATCAAGACTGCCTGGTCTGAGTCCCAACATTCACAGATCTGTGATCTTGGCCATATATCAATTCTTAGTAAAGAAAAAAGCACCAGAGTGTAGTAAATGCTGCGTAGAGAGTTTAAGAGAGTGACAGGATACAGAGTGACACAGTGGTGACTTTAGACCTTGGGCCTGCCCCGGACATGCCTCTCTCAGGAGGTGATAATAGACTGACACCCTATAAAAAGAAGGAGCCAGCAAGCCTAGAGAGAAGCTCAGAGGCGGGTCCCAGGGTGATGGGGAGAGGAGAGCAGAGGGATAGTTCTAGGCAGACAAGGGTGGGCAGAAGTATGCTCTATGTGCAGTCTAGCTTAATGTATGGTAGCTGGGGAGAGAGAATGAGAGGGAGGGAGGGAGGGAGGGAGGGAATGAAGAAAGAAAAGGAGAAGGAAGGTAAAGAGGGAGAGAGGGAGGGAGGGAATGAACAAGAATCTTGAATCCTTTATGAGTGAGCTCTCTTGGGGAACTGACTTGTTCTTTTGTCCAGCTTTGGACTGTGGTTTTTCAGTTGCAATTACTACTTGGCCCAGCTCTGCTTATAGTAAGTACAGCTACCATTTATTAAGAGCCTAAGTGAGTCGTATTCATTATAGGTTTCATATATATATTCCCTTATTTAATCCTTACAACCTGAGGCAGGTTATTGTCCTTATCTGCTTCTTTATGGATGGGAAAACTGAGGCCCAGAGAGCCTGTGACTTGAGAAAGATGAGCTGTCTAGTAAGTGACAGAGTCCACCCTTCAGTCCAGCCTGCTCTGCCTCAGACCCATGCTCTTGACTGCTATGCCACTCTGCTCCTCAGGGAGACCTTGACTGCTATGCCACTCTGCTCCTCAGG